TAAGGTAAATAGTTATGGTAAAAAGGTAAAAAACCATGGTAAAAAAGTGCCTGAATGTTTAATTTGGCCTGCGTATATCACTACCCTTAGAAATATTACATGTGTGGGGGGGAAAGTGTAATACCCCAAACATTTAATAGGCAATAAAAGAGAGAAGAAAAAAAAAGTATGTCCCACAATAATAAAGAAAGAAGATGTAGTAGCTAATAGAACAATAGTAGCCCCACAAGAAAAAAAGTATTTGCAATGTGGTCCCCCACAAAACTCGAAGAGTCCCTATCCTGACCAAACCATGTGGGGACCTATTTCCAGCAAAAGTGGGCTTAGTGGCTCTCACAACCCATATTATTCGGGCCCCCCCTTCGAGTGGGCCCCACTTAATTACTATGTGAAATTTTAACAATTTGTGCTATTTTTGCCCTATGGCTAGGGTTAGAAATTGGAATATAATTTTTGTATCCTCTCCAATTTGATCGGTATATTTTCGATTTTGTAGCATTATTTTTAGTATGAACTCCGAACAGTTTCGATTTCCAATTGTGTTCTGTAACAAAATAGTAATATATTGTAGACGCCGATACGATTTAATTTTTTTTTTTTGAAAACTCTGATTTTTTTTTTTTTTTTTAAGATTGATATTTATAATATAATTTACTAAGAATGAAAATTTTGAATTGTGCGTAATATTTTACGATGAAAAATAACCGATATATTTCACCAAATGTAACTTCCCGCATCTATAAAACCCTAAATCGTCTAGAACATTAATGACCGGTGTAAAAGTTAAGGGCCACTTAGCACCACCACCACCACCACCATGGTCCACCACCACCTAGAGCTGGCGTCCACCACCACAATCGGCACCTAGCTCACCCCACCCACACCTTTCTTGGAGGGCCCACAATCTTTATTATTATTTATTAGGAGATGACGAGGTAAGCAGGCCCCACATTTCCATTAAATAATTGGATTGTTATTATTTAAATGACATTTTATTTTTATTTTATTTTAAATAAATAACGCACATTACAAATATATTGACAAAATTAATTTTTATATACAAGATAATCCCTTTATACTTAAAATAGCATACCATCTCATGCATGAAAATCACACCTATAATTAAATTTTTTTATATACTTGATAATCCATTTATATATTTATATGGACGTGAAGAAAAATCGAATCTAACAACATTTTTGAGGAATATTCCTTATAATTTAAAAATTGAAACATCTTCTGGACCCCATACATTGTTGCCCCATGATGTGTATAGTTGGCTAACAACCGTTAGATTTCTACATCAATATTTTTATTTGTTTACCTTAAAAATTAGGGGAACTTAAGGCCACGCCCCTGAAGTAAGGTTAAATTACAAAACGTCCTGCCTATTTGGGTAACTACAATTATCCCCTCAACTATGAATTTTCTTACACGTCCATATTTGTCGCGTCAAATTCAACAGGATCTTTTAGATTATGTGGAATTTCTCTAGTTTGTGCTTGTTTTGTGCAAAAATGCAGTTTCTAATGCTACATAATATATTTTTTACTAGCTAAGAGATACATCTTATGATCATGATCTTGTTTCAAAATGTGGAGCTGAAATGGGGTAAAACGGATACAAATTGGAGAGTATTCAACATAGTCTAGAAGATTCTACTAAATTTGACACCATATATAATGGTCGACGTGTAAGAATTTTCATAGCTGACGGGTGATTGTAATTACCGAAATACGAGGGGTGTTTTTTGTAATTTGACACTGCTTTAGGATTCGGCCTTAATTTACCCGAAAACTTATTAATCCATATTAATAAATTATTTGGCTAAATTACAACCACCCACTGAGGTATGGTTAAATTACAAAAAAAACCTCTTGTTTGGGTAATTACAAAAACCCCCATCAACTATAAATCTTCTTACACGTTCACCTTTGCGGTTTCAAATTTAGTGGAATCTTTGAATATTATCACTTTTGTACCAGTTTTATCCCATTCAAACTCCACATTTTGAAGCAAGATAATCGTAATATGTGTTTTTTGGCTTGTATATATTAGATTGTGGTGCATCAGAAACTGTATTTTTACCCAAAACGAGTACAAATTGGAGCACATTCCACGAAATCTAGATGATTATGTTGAATTTAACACCATAAGGGTGGAAGTGTAAGAAAAAATCATAGTTGAGGGGTGTAGATGTAATTATCCAAACAAGAGGGTTTTTTTTCGTAAATTGACCATACCTCAAGGGGGTGGTTGTAATTTACCCTAAATTATTTATACTTCTAATGAAGTTTATATTTCAATAATGCTATTTATAGAGACTTAAAAAAATCATTTTCTTTGTTATCCAGGTCTCCTAAATTTCACTTCAAATTTCAATGGCTTCATCACAAGATAAAGATTTCCGACGAGATAATTCAGAGGTTGAACTCAGCGCCGCCGCAAGAGAATTCAAGATTTTCAGTTCTCATGATCAGAGGCAGCCGCCACCGCCGACGGCGGCAGCACAGCCACTTCGCGCGGCGGCGCCATTACTTAAAGAAGAAGAGCATGATCACACGATGGCTGAGAAACCAACTCCACAGCCACCACCTGCAGGAACAGTTCCGCCGCCGCAGATGAAAAGATCTTCGACAAAAGACCGCCATACGAAAGTGGAGGGGCGGGGGCGGAGAATCCGAATGCCGGCGGCTTGCGCCGCCAGAGTCTTCCAGCTGACACGTGAGCTCGGCCACAAGTCCGACGGCGAGACCATACGTTGGCTGCTGGAACAAGCGGAGCCCGCCATCGTAGCCGCCACCGGAACCGGCACCGTACCCGCCATCGCCATGTCAGTCAACGGCACTTTGAAAATCCGACCACAACCACTCCACCGCCGCCGCGCCGCCGCCGAAGGATCCCATGAACCGCAAGCGCAAGCGTCCGTCTAGCAGCGAATTCGTCGATGTGAACGGCGTCAGCTGCCCCCCGCCGTCAAACTCCGCCGCCGCCACCGCCACCGCCGGCGCTAATAATTTCTCCATAATCAGCAGTAATAATTCCGCAATTATCTCGACCAATGGCGCTTCGGTTTCGGCCCCACTGATGTCGGTGATACCAATCTCCGCCATGTGGGCTATTCCGATAGTGGCGTCAAACTCAAATTCATCAACCCCGACATTTCTCATCTTCCCGCCAAATCAAACCGCGCAGACGGTTCTCGCGTTTCAGCCGACGGCGGCTGCTGCTGCTCTGAACGTGACGCCGGTGGTGAATTTCTCCGCCGCGCCGCGGCCAGTTTCTGCTTTCCTCTCCGCCATGCAACCCGCCGTACGGATGCCCCAGATGAATCTGCAGACTTTTATGAGTTCGAACTCGGCGGCGGAAAGACCGAGTTTTCCGAGTTCAAGCAACGGCGGCGGGGGCTCCGCCGCGAACAAGGCTCAAATGCTGAGAGAAATTTCTTGGGATATTCGCGATAAAAAGGAGTTACCGGCGGCCATGGCTACTCGTTCGGCTAAGAACTGAGAATTCTTAGCTACTGGTGAATTAAAAGTTGGTGGTGGCCGGTGGTGGACCGGTGGCGGACCGGTGCGGGCGGTCGTGTGATGGCGGAGCAAGACGTACGCCAGCTTAGGTTGGCAGGCGGGGCCCACGGGAATAGTTGGCAGAGTGGAGGTGGGGGCACGGTGGCCGAGGTGGTGGTGGTGGTGGACCCCACAGGAGAAATTTCTAGCGAGGCGGGCGCTGCGTGGTCCCCGTACTAGGCGTAGGTTTGAGTTTTGACCCACTGCGGCCGATAAAATTAGCAGGCTGGTGGGCTCGGGATGACGTGGCAGTAAATGGTGGGCCCGCCATTGAAGACACGTGGTCCCACTATTTGTTTATTAGTTACTTAATTGAGATGATTAAGGTGGTAATCTTGTTTTGTTTTGAAATCTGTGTGCTTATCATCAGTTATATTATTTTTGCTTCAGGTTGGCGATTGGTACCGAATTTGTTTTTAATTAACAAAGAGCCCTCAAACTTTTGTGTAATATAGTTTTGACCATAGCTCCATAATTTGGGTGGGAAATGAGGACCACGCTCGTGGTCCATATTTGGAGCCAGAGTATGGGTAAATTGTGGGTCAGGTCCATACATAATAATTAATTATTTTCACTAATAAACAACTCATTTAAAATTAATTAACTCATTAAGAAATAAATAAATAAATCATTAACTCAAAAATTCATCACACGCCGTCCAATGGTATCTAAAGTCCCCGCCTAGGGTCTGCAGTTTGTATTTGGTCCCATCGATCTGATCAGATTCGGTTCGATCCACACGGAACCGATTTGCTTTAAATCTAGATAGAAAGTCGGGACTAAGTTGATAACTTTAAACATGAAGTGCACGCAATCGAACAAATTAAATTTGATTTTTTAAATCCCAAATCGTCAAATCCCAACTCATCGCCCTCTCTCTCTCTCTCTCTCTCTCTCTCTCTCACACACACACACACACACGATCGGATCCACATGAATCGGCACCAAATCCGGTCCAAATTGAGTAAATCGTCACTCGTACCCCCGAACCTCTTTGCACACGTCAAACCGAATATCATTAAGCTAAAGCGTCAACGATATCAATTTACGGTACTTAACCAAACCAAAAAGTTGTCACTCTTTACATAAATTTCAACTTCTGAGATGCTATTATATTCCACATCTACACTATACATCCAGTTAAAAAAAAATTATTTACAATTCCTACCACACAATCATCAATACTTTTCTCCTCCCAAAAAATATACACACACACACAAAGAAAAAAAAAACATGCCGATCCATTTCGCAAGTTAGATAGTCAAATTTTCTTGTATAGCAAGGAATGACCCGACAATATTCCCACCCACGTCGGGAAACGTTTCGGATCCGGGTAGGGGCTTCACTTTACCCGTTCGATCAACATCCACCGGGTATTTCAATAGGTGTCCCCTCATTTCCGACACCTCGTTCGATGCAAATTGCTCCCAATTAGCTTCCCCCATTGTTCTCACACGTCGTACACACTCCACCGACTCGGGCCTTGTAAAGCAATCCTCCAAAAGCCCGATATGCTCGGCCCATAATGACATCCTATATCCATATATCTGTTTTTGTACCAAAAAACTTTTTTAGCGAATTTTAATTCTAATTATGTATCGTGATTATGAGTTTATTGCATTCTGCATCCCTGTTCTATTTCGAATTGCTAAAACTCCCCGTATTACAAATATTAGTAAAAAAAAAACTATGATGCATGCATTTTTTGGCGCACAAATGAGGCCTTAGTGTCTTTATTTTTCTTGATTTGGTCGTGGTGGATTTGTATTTTCTCGTATTATTTTCTTCATTTTATAGTCATATAATAAATCAAGAATGTTGGATTTTATACTAATCGTAACATTCTTGAAACCCAACATTCTTGATTTATAATAGTAAAATGACTATAAAATGAGTAAATAATACGAGAAAATATAATCCCCCACAACCAAAACAATAAAATAATATCTTAATATGTGCCCCTAATTAAATCTAAGTTTCCAAATTAGTCGAAAAATTACTTACCTGCCCTTGTGGACTTGATAGTTTTTTAGCCCACGTGTGATGAGGTTGATAGGCTCCCATCGCAATCTCCGTGTCTCGAGTACCCTCCATTGATCTTTGATTAATATTTGCCGACCCTATAATTACATACTCATCATCGACTATCATACCTTTCGAATGTACGTATATCATGAATCTTCGATTTTTCCTACTAAGTCCCTGAAAAAAAAAATTAAAGATCACTAGTAATTCTAGTGTAGAAATATTCATTAAAAAAATTAGGATACTATTTATTTTTTGGTAAATAAGCAATTAATACAATACTTGAGGAGTGTTTGCTGCAGATTGATTATCGGGAAAGTCGTTGAGGTCAACAGCCTCACGATTTCCGAGGCAGTAGAAATTCAAATAATCTTGCGGTGAGTAAGCGTCTTCGAGCCCAACTTCCACTAAAGCTTTGTAAATAGTTTCGTACATCATTTGCATGGTTTTGTGCTACGGAAAAAAAAAAGCAGCAATTTTTATATATTTATTTATAAAACTAAATATATATATTTATACATGTATGTATATACATCAACACACACCTGCCAAAATAGAATCCTCTGAGTAGCTGCACCGGTTGGATTACCTTCCGGCCACATTGGAATGACAATATAAGCAGCAAACCTTTCATGGGCTCTAATTTTTTCGGCAATTTTTAACGCGATTTCCATTGGAATCAAATTATTAGCACCTAAAAAAATATCACGAACGCAATTGAATAAAAAAAATTAATAATAATATTTAGAAAATACGGGAATGAGAAATACGGGTTTCTTACCAACATCCTTGTACTGATTCCAGTTATACGAGGACCCAATGAAGTACTGATTCTCAATGTATATGAAATGTTGTGCAGCGCGTATGGCCTTTATGTATGCCGTATGTATACTCATATCTATAAGTACATTCTTCCCACACACCAAATTCTGTTCCAAAATCGAATTTAAAAAAAAAAAACAAATCATAACTGTACCGTAAAAAATTAAGAAAGAAAAAGATCGATTTTTTTGCTCACCCTCTTTGTACCATCTTTAGGATCCTTCGGAAAACCTTTGACCGAATTCGAATCAATCGAACGAAACACCTAAACAGTGTAATAAAAGAAGAATCGATGGTAAAAAAAAAGAAAAAAAAATCGATAGTACCATCGCAAAAGCACAAGGTACAATCATTTAAAAAAACCTGCACATGCCAACTCTCCGGATCACTGTCGGTTATACAAGGAGCATCAGACAAGCCCAATATTTCAGGCATCCTTTCTATTCTGAGCAAAGCATCATCGTACGACATTTTTAATTTTTTTATTCCGTGTGGCTTTGAAGCCTTAAGCCACCGCTCCTCGAAATTGGACAGCACATCGTACGCTGCGGGCCCGTCAATTTTACAATGCAAATCGTGCCATGGCTCTCTAGGACAGCCAATAACATTCCCCTGTTAAGAAAATATTAAGGGTCGGTCGATTCTTGAAATTATTAAATGAACAAAAAAATTAAAAGTATAATTGAAGAAAAAAGAATTTACTGTATAAGTAGGGTTATGATAGTCATCCGAGTGCAAAGTTTGGAGTGTTCGAAATATGGGATGCTGAGGTGTATCGTATCGCCCATCACACAAGTCGAGTCCACCTAGGAAAGAGATTATGCTTCTTCGGTTATTACCAGCATCTGCATCTACTATTACGGTTTTTTGATGGTGTGTATATATAACTCCAACTTCCTAATCATGAAATCGCAAGACATCATTAAACACCATGTATTATAATCTTTTTACAATTTTTTAAAGTATTATACAGGAATATGTTTTTGACCAATCCCCACACAATCTACTATACAACAGCAAAAATCATAACCGAAAATTTAGGGAAAAAAACAAAACTTGGAAATAAAAACTAAGAGCAAGAAATTAAAATGGTTAATCTGAAAACGTACCCTCTGCTTAACCCAGCTGTGACGCTTTCCAGCCACTCGAGGACAAAGCAGCACTTGAACAGAGGAATGTTTGAAAAAACGACGAGTTTCTTCGTCGTGAGTTTGCATAACTCCATCCTGAAAGTGAATAAAGGAGATATATTATAATTAGAATTTAAATCTCATAACAAAACTACACACAATGCATCGATTTTGTTCCGTCACAGCACATGAAAGAAAACGGCAAAACATAGTCAAACTTTGGCTTATAAGCTTCGAAAGCCATTCACCACCCTTCTCTAAATTCTAATTAGTTTAACATAATATCAAGAAATCAAATTTGTTCCACTAATCGAGGTTTCATCCACACTCGATAAACTCTAACACCACACCACACAACTTCCATAGGCATTATGATTTTTGCTTTCACGTCATATTTCAAGATTTTCTTGCAGGAGTATATAAAAACAAAAATAAAATCCGATATTTCGACTTACAGTTTTGTAGCCCAATATACTTCTCGACGTAGGATCATCCCAAACAAGAAGCAAAACCCTAACACCTTCCTGCGATTTCGACTTCAAAAGCTCGCCTAAAGTGTAATCCGAAAGAGAATTATCATCTCTAACGAGCCTAACTTTATGCCATACAGACCAACCCGTAATATAAATCAATCTCCGAGCATTACGTATCGCCTCAAAAATATCCCTCCAGCATTTACCATGCGCATAATTCGTCCCATTATCAAGCATCAGATTCGGTAAGACTCCATCTGGCACATGAGCATCTTGATAAAGGGTAACTTTCCCACCTCTCCTAAGAGGAAAATAAGTACCGTGAACTCCTGGATAATCGGGGCCCGCCCCAATCCCATAATGGTATATACTCAACTGCTCTATCGGATAGTACTGTATCGAAAGTTTCAAAACAGCACCGTTCTTGCATGGCTTGCCGCTAGGGTTAAGAATCGGAAAAGAACCATTAATATTTCCTCCTCCATATATCTGCTCGACCGGAATCGAAACTGTTCCGATATGCTGCGTACCCAAAACATCGTTATCCTTCACAACAAAGTTCACTTCCGCTGCATGATGAGCAACCGGGACGACAAATTTCTGCATCCAAACGGGGTTCTCGTCGTTGCTTATTACATAAGTTCGTCCGAGAGTGGCGCCTGTAATAACTATAGATACGTAAGGATCGCTCGTGATCTTACGGTTTATCTGCCCTTCGATCTTGCTGCTCACATTGCCAGGCAATTTGTTGAACATGTCGCCGATTGTTTTGTGGAACATATCCATGTTGGGGAGGTTTTTCGCTTCGTGCACCAAAATATCCAAGTTGCCATGCAGGAGCAGAACCTTCAACGAAGTTTTAGGAGACGAAACGTGCACGAGCTGCATATCACTGTATTGAATAGTAGCGTGCGCGGCTGCATTTGGCGACGAAGAAACGGGACCCACCTTGCCCGAATTAGCAGTCTCCCAGCTCGAAAACGAGTTACGATAACCATATAAACTCTCGGCGTCGTTAGGTTTGTTAGTCATAGGCAACGGTCCCGAGTGGAACTTTTGTGGGGAAGGTGATACAGAGGGCTTGTTTTGACTATCGGACAAACGCATATTCGATAACTGGTCGTCTATAGGAGGGTAGAGGGAAGGGTAAGTGGGGGCAATATTGTCCACGGAGGAAAAACTGTTATGGTAATGATGATGATTAGGTTTAGGTTTAGGAGGAGCCTCGGATGTGCAATCTTCCGGATTGTTGGTGGTTTAGGTATTGGAAAGAATCGTATTGGAAACTACTGAATGTATGAAGAGCAGGGGAGGGAACTGGAGGGGGTGGTTGTTGGTATGCATGATGATATTGATAAGGGTAAGGGGTATAATCGGAAGGTGGGTAAGGCGAAGGAGGAGGTGTGTGTGATGGTGACGGAGTTGGGTAAGCGTAGTTTAGATGTCCGGAATGTGAAGTGGTGTAAGGGGTTTGGGTTTGGTAATGTGAGTGCTGCGGATAACCGTAGGGGGCGGGGTTAGGCGGCGGATAGGTGGGGGGTGGGCCGGAATTCGGAGGGGGGTATTGAATTGGGGGTGTTGGGGGGTGAGTACTGTAGGCATAACCAGGGTTCATGTAAGGGTATGGTGATGGAGGGTAATTATTGTTGTTATTGTGGTTGTCCATTTTCAGACACAATATTTATTGTTTTTTTTATTACAAATTAAGCATGGAAAACTGTAAGAGACTGCACAATTGTGAAAAGGGACCTCTGTTCTTGAATCAAGAATTGATTTTTCCTTCACCTGAATTATTTCAGACTGACGACGAAGAAGTTACCCAGATAAAGGAAAATTATAAAGATTGAATTTTTAGAGGTGAGAGAATTGATCAAGAAAGAACATCAAATGGGTTCTTTCTAATTTGTTTCAACGAATCAAGATTTGATACCTTTTTTGAGCTTTACTCCTGAAAAAAAAAAAAAAAAAAAAAAAAAAAAAAAAAACCTAAAATGATCGACCAAGATAGATAAAAAAGGAATATGATTAATTACCTTTGGAAAGATGAAATCTTTCTATCAATTCTCCGATGTTAAGAAGCCCCGGAGTGGGAAGAGCACCAAGAACACGATAAAAAAGATTAAAAAAAAAAACCAGGTGAAATTGTTGTCTGACAAGTTTTTCCAAGAAAGGTTCAACTTCTTACCGGTTATTCCAGGTTGCGAATTCGACGTTTTAACGCTTCGGAGAGACTTAGGTTGGACAAGCCCAGGAAGTTTCCCACTCACACGCTTGGTTTTATCTTGTACACGTGGAGCTACCCTATTGGGTCTTTCGGAAACACGTCGCTTCTTTTTGGGTTTTCTTCTTGAATGTTATTTGGCAAATTAAAAAATAAATTAAAAAAGAGACAAAACTAGGTCAAATATTTCTTGAAAAGTCATTTTAGTGCACTATTAGGATGAAGATCTCGAAGATTAATTTTTATAATTCTAATGGTCCCACAAATCCTTTGAACTAAATCTTTTAGTGCACCATCTATTATTGACCATTTTTAAATGTCGTTTTACATATAAATCATAATTTGATGATAATGATCTCTACTATGACAATATCATGGTATAATTACTATGTCGATTCTATACTGATATGGGCCGGATTGCCTCGTAAACCCAAACAATAAGATCTTACAAACAAAGTTCATAGTCGCTCATGTCTAGTCCGCTAAGCCAGCCACTAGTACATATAGGGTAGTTATAGGTGATGAATGTGAATACTAAAAGACGAAAAGTTTGCAGTGTGACATGGACTCATGAAAGGTCCACTGGGCATTATACGAAGCGATAAGATCCGCGAACCCTCCCCATTTGAACTAACCAGAAACAATTCACAAAGAACGAAAAAACTCGCCTTGGGCAGACGTGCAACTCACAAAAGATCACATCACGCCCACGTGTGAGTATAATAAGAGACAAAAGGGGAGTCCACCATCCTCATCCTAAAACAAATACAAGTATAGCCTCAAGAAGCAAGGCCCACAACGCGTATTTAAAATACACCTTACTCTTGTTACGTTATTTGATACGCTCGACAATCGCAACTGATTTAATCGTTGGAGTGTTGACGCCGGAATATTTTCCGGGGGAAATACTCCCTTTTATGCAGATTTTTCAGGTCCAGGACCACGTGAGATTCTTCTTATTTGGGCTTCATTTATTCTATATTCCAAGGTCATCTCATTTCTTTATATTGGAATCAACCATATGGGCCACATCAACTCTAGGCCCAAGTCATTTCTTTCTCTTGTGAAAAAAAAAATGTATAATTTTATGAATACAATTAAATCATTTAATATAAAATCTAAAAGCAAAAATAAGAAAATAGAAATGTAGTGCCAAAAAATACAAGTATCGTTAAACCCCAAACGAACCGTAAAATCTAAAACCCCTACGGCGGTTCTCTTACTATGAGAGAAAAATGATGACCTTTCTCAGCCGTTTCTTCCGCCGGAAAACACCGCCAGGAGTTACTTCCCTTCTCTCCGCACGCCGCCCTTTCTCCGCAACCGCCACCTCGCCCTCTAAACTCCGATCCAAGTACTCCTTCGTACCTCCCCCCTCTCTCCACCCACAGCCCCCAAATCGAAGCACCATTTTCCAACCCGAACCCGAATTCAAAGTCCGGAAGGTATCCAAACCCCCTTACCGCCCGCCCTCATCTCTCGAGAGGTCCAGCCCGCCGCTCAGGTCCGACGTCCCGTTCGATTTCCGGTTCAGCTACACCGAAAGCAACCCTAAAACCAGACCAATTGGGCTGAGGGAGCCGAAATACTCCCCCTTCGGACCGGGTCGCCTTGACCGGGTATGGACTGGGGTTTGCGCCCCGGCCGTCGACCCGAAGGTGGGGTCCGCCGGAATTGATGGTGAATTGGAGGAGAAAAGGCGAGTTACGAGAGATAGGGTTCAGGGAGAACCCTTGACTAATGCTGAAAGGAAAGCCATTGTTGAGAGGTGTCAAAGGCATAAAACCAAGAGGCAGATCAATTTAGGTATTTCTATTTTATCTTTTTTTTTTGTTTTTAATTTAATTTTCGTCTGATTCTTTGATACAGTGATTATGTATTATTCACAGAAATCTTAGCTGCTATTGTTTGTTCAGTATTTACATATTAGAACTCCAGTGTATGTATACTGTATGTGCTTATACAAAACATGCATGATTGGATTAACTTTTACGGGCAACATCGAATACATTTTATCGAGATACAATGTCCGTAGTAATGCCTTTGCTTTTCGAATTTGTCAGTGAAAATGTAGCTTATAGTATATTGGATAAGTTACTGTTCAGGTAAACGGTAAAACCGAGTGCTAAAACATGCATCACATTTTGATGATATTTTCGTCTTATTTCCCCATCATTAACAAAATTCTTGAAAGTAATCATATATTCATTTGTGGTTAATGATTCGTGATTGGAAATAACCGAATAAGCACCTTCCAAAATGCTTAGCTCGCGTCGAAACTTAGACCGAAGGATTCAGCTGACTAAAAATTATCGAAACTTACTTTCTTTACAGTGTAAGACAACAATTGAAGTACTCGGGTTTTCACATTGATGTTAGCATTTTTTTTTCCCTATAGGGAGGGATGGATTAACACATAACATGCTGAATGACATACATAATCACTGGAAACACGCCGAGGGTGTAAGAATAAAGTGTATGGGAGTGCCTACCGTTAATATGAAAAATGTATGCACTCAGTTGGAGGTATTTTCTTTTAACTATATAGCTTCGTCCACATTTCGTCGGATTTTTTTTTTCTTTTTCTTTTTTCATTTATATGGATGTAAATCTTTTGGTGCTGTTTTTGATGTATAGAATTACGTCTATTATGTTATGTTTTAAGCATTTTGCATGTTGATACTCCAGGACAAAACATTTGGAAAGATCATCCATAGACACGGTGGCCAACTTGTACTTTATAGAGGTAGAAACTATTCGACAAAAGAAAGGCCCGTTATTCCATTGATGTTGTGGAAGCCACAAGAGCCAGTTTATCCTAGGCTTATAAAAACTACTATCGATGGCTTGAGCATTGATGAAACTAAGGAGATGAGAAAACGAGGATTGTCCGTTTCTGCCTTAACAAAACTCGGTAATAATTTCAACTTCCGAGTTTCTTTATCTTTTTTTCTTCCTTTGGTTATAGTATACACTATCTGAAATGATAAATGTCGTTTCAATTTTACTGGTACTGTTTCAACTTCAAATGTGATTTTGACCATTTTTCAGTTGGAATTTGGTAAAAGTCAAAACACAAAATTTATAGTTCTTTGAGTTGGCTTTCTAATCCAACTTGAATCAGCTACATTTGGATATCGGGTGAGAAATTTATACATGATTGCGTTACACGAAAAACTCAAAACATCAAAGTTGTAGTCAATGTTCATTCATTAGTGCATAACTCTCTCATCCGACATCCAATCTTGTTGATTCAAGTTGGATTAGAAAGCCGACTCAAAGAACTACAAGTTATGTGTTTTGACTTTTGCCAAATTCGGACTAAAAAAGGGTCAAAATCACATTTGAAGTTGAAACAAACGACCTTTATCACCTCCCATACATTATAACATATTGAATTTTACTGCTTGCAGCTAAAAATGGCTATTATGGCAGTCTAATTCCAATGGTTCGTGACGCTTTTATCTGCGACGAGTTGGTTCGTATAGACTGTAAAGGCCTTCCAAAAACTGATTACAAGAAATTAGGGTGCAAATTAAGGGTAATTAATCCCTCTCTTGTTATTGAAAGACTGCAAATTAAGGTTAATCTTCTTCTCTTAGTAAATTATATTTGACGAATTTGCCCATTCGGTGGGTTCTGTTTTACGGAAACCAGGACTTGGTGCCTTGTGTACTCGTCACGTTCGAGAAGGAGCAGATTGTAATTTGGAGGGGCGAGAATTATAAACCTGCGGAAGGGGGTTACTTTCTCGAGGAGAGGGAATTATACGACGACGATTTATCTCTTGGAAACGAGCAGAGTAACACGGATTACAATTCTGGTGATTCCGATGAAGAGTGATTCGTCGAGCATGGTAATGATATTATGATGTCTTCTTTACATTTAAATTTCTTGCTAATATATGTTAGAAAATAAAAAGGAAAAAATTAATTATGGTACATATTATTTAATAACTTGTCACACATGCCTGCTGCTGATGAATTGAATCAGATGGTGCACATGGTGGTGTGTATACAATTATACATATATACATTGGTTGTTGAGATTTGATGGGCACCATGTTCAATGTGGTATTGGTACCTTTCTATAGTATTTTAATTCTTCTAGTAGTATTAATCTTTAGTATTTTTGTAACCATCATTTTAATTCTTGTAACATGCCAATTATTTAAGTATTAATCAAGTTGCCATAAATAGTTTTAAAGATTTTAAATATCATTTAAATATGTAATTATTTGGTCGGCAGAAACTATTAAAGGGGAAAAAGAAAGGTAATACAAAATCCACAAAGGATGTTTGATTAAACTCTCCTTTTTCCATTTCCATCATTTTTTTTTAATTTTTTTAATTAGGTGGCCAATAGAGAATATCTATATCACTAGTAATATAAAATAGTAGCATGATGTGACCATGTGTGATAGAGAGAGAGAGAGAGTGACCTTTTTTAAATAAAAGGTATTTTGTTCAATGTTTTTAACGTAGTAATGTATGAGTATACTTTTTTTTGCGCAAACTTCGGTCAGATCAAATTACGAAAAACATTCTCATCTTTGGTTGTTACAACTATCCAACAATAAATTTTTTTATACGTTCGATGTCAAATTTAGTGGAATCTTCTAAATTATGTAGAATATTCTTTAGTTTGTACCCATTTTACCTCAGTTTGTACCATTTTACCTTATTCGAGCTCCATATTTCGAAACATGATGATCATAAGATGTTTCTCTTGACTTGTAATTATCAGATTCTGGTGCATTAGAAACTGTATTTTGCAGAAAACGAGTACAAATTAGACAACATTATACATAATCTAGAAGATTATATTGAATTTAACTCTATAAAAATGGACGTGTGAAAAGATTCCATGGTGTTAGTAGTAGTTACCCAAATAAGAGAGGTTTTTTTTGTAATTTAATCCTTATCTTAGGGGATTGCCATAATTACCCCTATGTTTTTACAATCAGTCGACAACATGGGTAAAATCGACATTTCGTGTTTATCATCTTCATATCCAAAAAGTTTTCTATTTTCACTCTCTTTTCCCTCCTTTCTTAATTTAGTGAATTTAATTCCAATTTCACATATTTAAATAATCAAACAAAAATCAATCACTGTATTATAATCCCAATTTAGCTGCTCCACTGTCACAGTTTTCCTCTCTCTCTCTCTCTCTCCACCTTCCATCCCCAGCAATGGCGGCAGAAGACCACTCTCTCTCTACTCCTCTTCTCTCATCTGACCACGTCATCCTCACCGTCCGCGACCAAATCGACACGCCGCGATCAACATCCGCATCCCAATCTCTATCCGCCGGAAATCATCAAACCCTATTTCAATCGAGCGATGAGGACCGCCATAATCCGTTCGCGTTCATCGGTGCGCACGATGGGTTCGATGTGCCCGGATCCAGCACAATCGACCCGTTTCGGAACCACACGCCAGCCGTTGAGGGTTTGTACGAGTGGTTGAAGATTTTGATCTGCCTGCCCGTCGCGGCTGTCCGCCTTGTGCTGTTTGGACTGTGTTTGTTGGTTGGTTACGTGGCGACCCGTTTGGCTTCGTACGGATGGAAGGATAGGCAGAATCCAATGCCCAAGTGGCGGTGTCGGCTCATGTGGGTTACCCGTATTTGTTCCCGCGCAATCCTTTTCTCATTTGGGTATGCCTTTCCGAGTTTTGTGTTCTATTAGTATGTTTTTTTTTTCCGAAGATTCAATATTATAGCTCTTTTGTTGGAATTTAATCGGTTAAATTTTAAGGATTCTCGTGGTGTTGAAATTAGATACATAATTTCATATATCAGAATTTTATGTTTACACCGTTCACACACCCGAGTGTCTGATGATTTTTGGTTTGAACAGTTGTTATGTAATGATGACCCACTTTGCCCCTTCCATTTTTGTGCAAATTTGTAATGCTTTAATTTGGGTTGACTTGTATATTTTCGTTCCCAACAGCTATTCTTAAAGTTCAGTAGCATGCTTAACGAAAAAAAAATCGAAGGTCTGACTGGGCAAGCATAACAGTTCAATGAAATTTGATTGATATTTAGTATTACATATAAGCGAGTATTTAATGATTAGTAGTTAGGTCAATTAGATCTTGGGCAAAGTTATGAGTTACATTTGAATGATTGCATTTTTGCTGGCAGTACTTTTGAGGGGGTCAATTTGTAAATTTCTTTAGTAGCTCCTTACAAATACCAGTTTCACATAATACCATGACTTTATCGAAGAATAGTTGAATTTATGTGATTCTGTTGAAGAAAATTTTGGGATCTCATGCAATTGATGATTAGAATATTGTCTATCATGTAATATTTTGGACAAGGAAGGCTGCCATCTGTCATCACTATAATTTATCTCCATCTGGTCATTGGATGCCGTAGACTGGTTGGGACCCCTAAGAAACATTTATCTGTGGCATACATGTTCATGGTTTCTACAATTTATAAGATGTTAAACAAAATATAAAATGATGAACATATTTATAGGATGTTGCTGTAAGATAATGGTGAAGTTATATTATTGCTTTCCTGAAGATGCTATTTCACGTTCCTTTTTGAGATTCTTGTTCATTCAGAAACTCACTATTTCCTTTTTTTTTGGTGTGGTTTTTTACATTGCAGCTACCATTGGATAAAAAGAAAAGGAAAGCCTGCCCGAAGGGAGGTTGCTCCTATTGTCGTTTCTAACCATGTTTCGTATATTGATCCTATTTTCTTCTTCTATGAATTATTTCCTACTATAGTGTCATCTGAATCGCATGATTCCATGCCTTTTGTTGGAACCATCATCAGAGCAATGCAGGTATTGTAGTACATATAATGTGTTATCTAAGTTTCATATCTTTATGAATTATTATAACTGCGAAGCTTGCCCTTGCAAGTAATGATTTAATTATGAGGTCTATATTCTGTAGGTTATTTATGTTGATAGATTCTCAAGGTCATCCCGAAAGCATGCTGTAAATGAAATAAAGGTAGAAAGAATCCATCTGTGCTGTCTTACTTTCTGCTTTGAACTGAAGCAAAAAATCAATGAAAAATGCTGGTAGTTTGATGAGAATATTTAAGATTAAAAAAGTTCTATTATATATAAGCAATTTGATACAGAAATTTGCTTTTAAGGATTTGAAAACAGAGAAAAGCCTCTTGCAATCGGTTTCCTCGAGTGCTTTTATTTCCTGAGGGAACAACAACCAATGGAAGATCTCTAATTTCCTTTCAACTTGGTGCATTCATCCCTGGTTATCCTGTTCAGCCAGTTATTGTTCGTTATCCACATGTACACTTTGACCAGTCCTGGTAAACCCATCTTTCATTTTTTCCATTGTTTTTTTTCTCGATGTCCCTTCTAGTTCTTTATGAGATTCACTTAATGTAACATCTTTTTCAGGGGGAACATTTCAATTGCAAAGTTAATGTTCAGAATGTTTACGCAGTTCCACAATTTCATGGAGGTGTGATTTAAATCATTTTTCTAGTTTTAGATTTTTTTTATTCTATATCGTAGTTATTACTCTCATACTATTATTTTACTGTAGACATGCTCCTGCTGCTGACAGTGTAAATAAAGTTTTAAAACATCATTGCTTTAATGTAATCATATACCGATTGATATGTAGCAACCGTGTGAGGGTTGTGCTGGTTTTACTTACATGCTGAGTTGTATGATAGAATTGCAGAATTTTACAACTTCTTTAAGCTGTTGTATCATTTCTCTCAAAAGAGTACCCCTAGTAAATATTTTTTAGTATGTACAATCTGAAAATTACTGTTGTAGTTGAAAGGGATTTTGTATATCCTATTGCATGATTCATGCAATATGTTTCTGTGACATCCTGTTAAACCCGTACTTTCACACTTTATGTCTCTGTTGATCTGATGCAGCCACATACATCGTTCTTACTATTCGCAGGTTGAGTATCTTCCTCTTGTCTCACCTCATGAAAGTCGAAAGGAAAATGCAGTTCATTTTGCTGAGAGGGTGAGTCTTGTCTAGTTACATCTTCATTGTGCTACTTGAGTCTCTAATATTTCATCCTTCAAACAAGATAGTGTGTTGTTAAATGCAGACTGGTCATACAATTGCAAGTGCGCTCAATGTTGAACAGACATTACATTCTTATGGAGACTTTATGCTTTTTACAAAGGCAGCAGAATTAAAGCAGGTTGGCGATTTGTTCCCTTAGTAGCATCTGTTGAATTGCTTGTGATAGCCCAAAGCTTTATGTATCACTTTATTGTGTCATCCCTATTAGCAGCCCATCTATTTTGCCTTATTCACTATTACGTGTTGCAATCTTTACTCGAGCCATTTTAAGCACTTCTATTATCAGCTACTCAACATGCTTTAGAGCCCTTCTATTGGCTACTACTCAAAATGCTTTAGAGGGAACATAAATATAATATGTGGTGCTGAATGAGTCTACCTCAAAGCTTCCATGTAATAGTTTAAGTAGCAGTTTATTATTATTATTTTTTTTATAAGTAAAATGTAGAGTCCTTTGTTCTGTTGGATTTGGTTCAGTAGTTCTATTTACTCTTATATTGTTTTCTTATGTGTATAGATCTTTATCTTCCAATTTTTGTTCCCATGATTTTAGTAATTCCTATTTGTGTAAGATTTGTGTTACATGGTTTAGTCATTTACTACAGTAATATGTAAAGGCTTGCGGTTTAGCTAGATTTGGTTCAAATCATGTCTATCATTGTTTCTTTATTCGTGTGTACGTTACTTGGTATGTATGTCATCTTCTTATCTGGAATTTATTGTTCACTGATAGCATATTGATTTTTTTCTTTCATCAGGAGAACCCGTCGCTGTATATGGTAGAAATGGCCTGGGTACAATCGGTAAGTTATAATTTTGCAAAAAATTACGAAATAGGTTAATTTTCTTTTATTAAATCTTATTTTATTCAATGTGTTTGCATATCTGTTTTCATTGCCATTTCACATCCGACAAATACAACGCTTCAGACATTCAGGACATGAAAGTAAGGGCGCTTTGTAGAAATTTGCAATAATTTGAATCAAAGCCCTCTTCATTATAGTTCCTGCTGTAGTACATATTATTTGAGTTATAGTTAATATCTGGTAATCGTAAATGCTTACTTTCAATGGAAATTGGTAACAATTCTTGCAAAAAAGAGGACCTTCCTAAAGATGAAAAGAATAATTCTCAGGATCATAGTTTGGGTATTTCACTTTAGATTGAAAAATATGTCTGGCAGAAGTGTAATAACAAGGTTAACTTAATTTTACTTTGCAAGCCCTAGGGTTATTCGTGCCTGTACGCTCTGAATATCCCATTGTCCCCTTGATTCTGAAAAAATAACCTGGAAATCAGTTGCTAAATATCAAGGTGGTTCGGACTGAGCTATGATTGCACAATCAATAAATACATGGGCTAAAAATTGAATTAGACATACTTAGAGTTGCCACTTGCAATATTCTTGGCAACATGTAAAAGTTCAATATATCACTTGATCACTGAGGTATTCATGCACCATCTTTTATTTTCAGTCACTGCATTTGAAGGCTTTGGAAGCTGTAGACTTTCTGGAGATATATCTGCAAATGAATCCAGATCCCAGGTATGCTGGAATGTTGTCGTTTTTGTAATAATATGCCATGTTGATATGCATAATATACATACATGTAGTAATTTACATAATCTCTTTATTTATAATGGAAGGCAATATTAATACTTTCTGCATCTCAGTTACATATATTTAACCTAAAGTGGCTCTTACCGACCTCTCAATGTTCTTATCCCGACCATGTCGCATAATTCATCTTCTTTCCCATTGCTCTATCAATGCACAGATTCCTTAAAAAATACGTATCTTTTCTCAAGTGCAGGTCAAAATGGTCATGATGGGAAGCTATAAACTATTGAACTGTAATGAATTGCAATAGACTTTGTTAATAACAGAAATCGGAAATCAATTGCTGGAATAAAGCAACAGTGTACTTTGAAGCAGCACATCAATACATCCTTCCACAAAATTAAAAGAAAGAAAGGGAAAAAAAAGAGAGTGAACATTGTTCAGTGAATAAACCTACAACATGAAATAGGCATAAATAAAATGAATGCGGATATTAAATTTGCTAATAACTTTCAGAATTTGCATTTTTTTGTGGATATAGAGTATTATAATGTTGAAATCATGCATCTTGTTTACAGGGGACAAGTGGAATTCCACGACTTCCTCAGAGCTCTAAGACTGAAACCTTGCGGTCTCTCCGAAAAGGTCATTTTTTAAGTTTTTCCTATTGCACTTGCTCTTGTCCTTATTGTATTTCACCCTCTCGAGATATCCTTAATTGTTGAGTTCAACCTTGTATTGGAAAAATTTGCCACATGATAATTCAACAGACCATTTTATGTTTCTCTGCCTCAATGCTTGAGCTTAAAGATTCTTGCTAAATTATCATTAACATGTGGTCGTAAACCTTTACTTGATTTTGGCTTCTCTTTATTATTATTTTTTTAATATTTCCTCCTTTCCTATTCTGCAGATGTTTGAATTCATTGATGTGCAGAAGATTGGTAAAATAACATTTAAACAGGTAATTTGTTATTCTAATCCATATTTGTTACTAATTACGCATGGGTATGTTCGAAGTACTTTCGGTGGTATCGGGACACCCATCCAATTATAGTACAAGATCGAAGGTGCGAGATTTTCTCACAGTTGAATTCTATTTTTTTCAGTTCTTACTCGGTTCGGCCCATATCTTGAAGCAGCCACTGTTTCGCCAAGCATGTGAACTAGCATTTAGCGAATGTGACACGAATGACAAGAATTACATTTTAAAGCAAGAGGTTTATTATTCAATATCCATCTCTACGTATTATCCCTCATTCGTAAACTTTTATTCTCACCATTTCCTCAATTCTTTCGTGACAGTTACAAGACGCGGTTTCGCTATCGATTCCAAACTTGAACTGTGAAGAGATCAACGGGCTGTATAGTTTATTTGACGTGGATAATCATGGGAAAATCGGGAGGAACGAATTTGTGGCTTGCTTGAAAAGGTACCCATTGCTTATTGCACTTTTTGCTCCCAAATTGTTGCACATGAGCTCGTCGATATCCGATCAATGTTTATTAGAGGAGGTGTTGTAAGGAGTGGTGATGTGTTTTGTGAAAAGAGTTTATTTATTAGATTAAAAACATATGATTATTTGTGTAGGAATATGAAATCTACACTTGTTTGTGTTTGATGTGTGTTCCCTAAAATATGAAACACAAATCACCAAGCATTTGATGACATCATCATTTGTCTTGGTGAATTTTGCTTGTGGATAGATTCTTTGTGTTTTATGGAAATTGAATTGAATTGTTATCCATGTTTAATTTTCCTTTTTAGTATGTCATCAAATATATTAATACAGTAGAACCTCGATAAATTAATACTCGATGAGAGAAGAGGATTAGAAGAGGTGAGGGGGAGAGGCTTAAGTACCTCAGATAAACGGTTGTGATAAAACTATCAAGATGAGCGGTCCAGATCAATTTTCGAGAGAGTTCAATTAGATAGACGGGCTTTGTGTGCAAACGAGCCGTTTGTTTCGGTGGGCCACCTCAAGTAATATGGGCTAATGGGCCGAATTCTTGATAATTCTTTCGGGCCCAAAATGCAAAAGTGATTAATTGAGGGAATTAGCAAAGAAATAATTAATGTGAAATTTAAATTTCCCCTTTTACCCTT